TAGTTTACACTGATCACAAGAACCTAGAGTCCTTAATGACCACGAAAGTACTCACACGTCGACAGGCGCGTTGGGCAGAAATCTTAGGGAGCTTCGACTTCGAAATCCGCTTCCGCCCAGGTAGACAATCAACAAAACCGGACGCACTATTGAGAAGGCCAGATTTTATACCGAGCGAAGGGACAAAATTATCATTTGGACAACTGATTAAGCCTGAGAACCTGCCGGAGGATGCTTTCATTGATGAACTTGAAATTGCGGACATGTGGTTTGTGGATGAAAATGAATTGAATGAAGGAAACATTACTTTAAATAGACAAAACGACGAACTTCAGGATAACGATGAAGAGTCACAGCAAGTTTTAAATGACACTGAAATTATATCGATGATCAGAAAGAAATCATGTCAAGACGAATTTATAAGCAAGACTCTAAACTTATGTCAGGAAATGCCCAAATCAAAATTGTTGAAAGGCTACCACACAGTCGAAGGAGTATTGTACTTCAACAACAAAGTTGTAGTACCTAATGATGCTGACATTAAACTGAACATCATGCGTTCCAGGCACGATAGTCGATTGGCTGGACACCCAGGGAGGATGCGCACGTTAGCATTAGTGAAACGAGCATTCCATTGGATGTCAATGAAGGCCTTTATCAACAGGTATGTTGATGGCTGCCAGTCTTGCCAAAGGGTGAAGGCAAGGACCGAAAAGCCATACAGAAGCTTACAACCGTTACCGATTCCACAAGGACCTTGGTTGGACGTATGCTACGATCTTATAACAGATCTTCCGTTGTCGCAAGGATATGATAGCATCCTAACCGTTGTTGATTGGCTTACTAAAATGGCACACTTCGTCGCATGCCGGAAAAGTATGACATCGGAGGAATTATCGAAGTTGATGGTCAAGGAAGTATGGAGGTTGCATGGAACACCTCATACAATAACTTCAGATAGAGGAAATATTTTCATCTCGAGAGTGACTAAAGACTTTAATCGCAGATTAGGCATCAAAACACAGTCCTTGACGGCCTACCATCCTCAAACGGACGGACAGACAGAGGTAACAAATAAAGCGGTCGAACTGTTCATACGGCATTTCACTTCGTACAAACAGGACGACTGGTATGACTTACTACCATTTGCCGAGTTCTCGTATAACAATAATCAGCATTCATCCATAGTTGTATCACCCTTCAAGGCGAACTATGGGTATGATGTTAATTTTACAGATGTTCCATCAAGCGAGCAGTGCATACCGCTAGTAGAGCAACGAATGGAGCAGATCAAGATGGTTCAGCAAGAATTGAAAGACTCGATGAAACTATCGCAAGAACTGATGAAGACACAACATGATTCACGAGTACGAGAAACACCACAATGGAAAACGGGAGAGAAGGTGTGGTTAAGCAACAAACACATTTCAACTACCCGTCCCACTGTTAAGTTCTCTCACAGGTGGTTGGGACCGTTTGTCATAAAATCACGTGTCACAGAAAATGCTTATAAACTTGTTCTGCCTAAGTCAATGAATAAAATTCACGCAGTGTTCCATGTCAGCTTATTACGAAAATACGAAAAAAGCAAGATTCCTGGTCAGGAGATCACTCCGCCTGCACCCATCATAATTGAAGAGAATGAAGAATTCAAAATTAATCAAATATTAGATAAAAGAAAAAGAGGAAGTAAAACTGAATACTTGATCAATTGGAAAGGCTATGGAAGTGAATTTGATTCATGGGAACCGTCAGAAGGACTTCAAAATGCGCAAGAAGCAGTTAATGAATTCAATCAAAAGTACCCAGGAGCTGAACTAAGGTATAAGAGGTCAAGGAGAAAGTAGAGAGGGTGAGGCTTTTTCCCACAGGGTTTTTTAATGCCAACCCGTGGAAAGATGCTAACCTGCAAGAGGAGGTTGAGTCATAAAGGGGGGAGTGGTGTTATGAGCTACTCAGTATAAGGATTACATACATATGTTTATACTGTAACTCACCTATAGTACTTTGGTGAGAGGAGTCTATACTAGACTCCTCACGTAGCAATCTATATCTTATCATAGAACACCCTTGGTCTTGTCTCTTGCATCTTCACACGCCCAGAGTCCTATCACTGGGCACATTTTCAATCCTCCATATCTCTGTAGCCCACATACAAATATCCTCTGGACCCAAGAAAAGTCCTCTGCGTCTGATCATCCTACACACACATCTCTTCAAATCCCTCCCTTGCCGCCAGGAAAGTCCTTAAAATCAGACTTGAAGAACTGGTTTTTGTGTAACATCTCAGCGTGTTTGGTGTGAACTTTTGACAGGTTGGTCAGTTTTCTGCCTGATTTTGGTGTTTTTTGCAAACTTCACAGTTGCATTGCTCTGTGAGTTTTCAATAAAATTGGAATTAAGCTACACACATGTGTGGAGATTAAGCGGGCACACAGCTCTTTTCTTTGGTCCCAAGGATATTCATTTACAGGATACATAGATATGGAGAGTTGAAAACATCCCCAGCAAAACTTTTCCGGCTCATTTGCCAAAGTTGTGGTATAAGGTATAAGTCCCTCTCTCGACTACTTGTTTGTCTAAGAGGGACTTAGTTAAGTTAGCTATAGAAGCATTCCTGTGTCCTCCAGTTTCCCATTCTTTAAGTGTATGCAACACACATTTACCAATTTCTTGTCACAAAAAGGTCAGTGAGTTGGTTTTATGCCAGTCACAAGGGTACAAACGCAGTTTTGTGATGGATTCAAAAACATGTTAGGTTATATGCAATTTGGGGTTCACTGCCATTGTAGTTTATTTGAAATTTGGACAATGTTAATCAAAGCAAATCACAGGGATTTGTGAAAAAAACCAATGTGTCAATATCATAGACTACCTTTTTGTGCAACCTCACAAAATATTGAACAGAGCTTCTTATTAGCCTCTTACACACGCTCCTGCCACTTTTAGCACTACTTTATTTGAGCAGAGTGACACAGTTGAGCTGTTGACTTCTTGTAAATCTGGGTCTTACTCAACACAAGGCCTACGTGCGAACGTCAACCATCCAAAGTCACTTGATCTGGGAGTCCAATTTCTTTGCAATCCACAACTTCAGACATGCAAAAAGTGGAAATGTGGAACATTAACACTTACGAAAACGAGGTATAAAAATACCAGCAGGCAGAAAGGTTTGGGCGAAATTCCCCAGGCTAAGTGCCTAGGAAGATAAATTGCTTGAATAAAATAATGACGACCCTACGGGGTGGTAGCGGAATAACAACACACAACACTAATGATGACCATAAACAAAAAAGAAAGGAGAATAAAAAAGACGAAATCAAAAGATAAACATAAAATAAAAAATGAAGAAAAGAAAACGTAGCATCCCAACACTAAGGGCGCGTTCACTTAAGGAATTTCTGACCAGAAATCACATTCTGTAATTTTTTTAATGCAAAAATGTAACGTGCCCCACCAAATAGACATTTTAAATTTTGCAGAATGTGATTTCTCACCAGAATTTGCTTAAGTGAACGCGCCCTAAACAAAGAGAAGGACCTAAAAAATCTGAAATTAAACCAAATAACTTGAAACAATAAAAGAACATGATAACAAACACTTTCAATAATTAAAATAAACAATCAAAAAGACTAAAAAATATTCCTTAACCAGAAGCGGAGAGGGTGGGTGGGTTGCTAAAAACCAAAACAGGATAATGATAATAGAAAAAATAGGCGAATGTGAACACGATGGGAATAAAATTCGATGAGTGGTAAACAGCTATGACATCATAGCTGTGTTTACCATAAATATCAAACAGAGTCCGACCCGTCAGACAAAACAACCTGTAGTTCACAGTCCGAATTTTATCCACATTCCCATCGGTTAACAACGAGTTGCCAACAACTAGTAATACGTGGAAAACAATGGTACCGTCGTGCCTTCGGGTACCATCTGCCATTTTCTACTATTCACTATAGGTTCATTGTGGAGACCTGCCTAGCTATTTGTTTATTTTGCTTATGCGTTTTTTGTTTTTCTACTATTCACTATAGAATCTTGTTGCTATATGAACTTGGGTGCTCTCACGAGGTATCAGATATTGTTGACCTAGAGACTGTGGTGAATCGTGATGATGAAGTGGATTGAGAGGATACAGTGAGTAATAATATTGTAGATTTTGTTAAGTTACCCTGTCTTAAGTTGATTTGGTTGAGTTTTCCAAAGAGAGTTTACGAATCCAGAGGGCTGATTGAATTGAATTCAAGCCAATTATTAGAGGTTGTTGATCCAAAATCGAATTTTGGTAAATAACCTTCAAGTCTTTCATCGAGTTCTTGACCTCTTCCTCTTCATTACCAATTGAGTTCTCTGTTTTCCTCTTTTCTTTTACTTTACTATTCTCGGTGAGTTCTCCTCAATCAACTTACCCTTTCATCTCTTTACCCTGATCTATCCCTTTCTTCGTTCAACTCGTTTCTTGATCATCGATTTATCAATCCCAACTCTCATCGCATTCTCAAATCATTCATCCATCTATTTATTCGTTTATAATCGAATTCTTATCATCAATCAATTCTCAATCGTCATCATGGGTCTTATCCTACTTCTAAATCGATTTCAACTCTCTTGGACAGACTTTGATTTACTCTCCCTGGGTTACTCATTCTTCTTTACCTTTCTTTCATTTCATTTTACCTTCTTTCATCTCATTCTCATCTCATCTTATTCTATCCATATTTCTTTCCAAACCGTATCATCACACCTAACCTTCATTTCTCTCCTTTTGACCTTTATCTCAAACCAGTCACCATCACTCTATCTCATACGCCTCCTAATCTTCAATCTTCGATTGGCGATCCATCTTTCAGGCCTCAAAATCTCTCAACAGCAATCAATCCATCGATCACAATCCCTCGATTTCGTCATCTGAGAAACTGAAAACATTCTATATTAAAACATCCATCCATCAAAACAAAACAACTCATTTTGATCAAGGCTTATCATACCCCAACAAAATGATCTCTGATGTGATCTCTGGTGGATGGGGTGACTCGACAAGGCCTAGGAGTCCTTCTCCCGGTCGCGGTGGTCGATTTGATGACGGGGGTAGACGATCACCACCCCCTTTTAACGATCGCTGGTCTTCTGCTCATCCCGATCGTTCCAACAATGGTCAAGCTCCTTATCGAAATCGCTCACCCGACTTTGGTCTGTCTCTTCTTCATATCATTCTCTCAGTCTTTGGTCACTCATCAATACAAACTCCTCTTTTCTCATCATCATGTCTTTAGGTCGAAAACGTCGGCGCGACGAATCACCACCAAACAGTCGAGATCGATACATACCTAATTATGAACGTGAGCCTTTTGACCGAATCACAGTACCACTTTAGAGACCCTACATTTTCCATCGATCCTCAAGGTTCACTCTGATAGTCTTCAGTCAAACACATGGCTTTGTGACCCATATCCCCTCATACATTACCCACAACATCACCACTTCCCAGACTCCGACACACTCTTCGTGCCACTGAAAGAGCGATATCCCGTTGACAAGATTTTGACTCATTCTCGTTCGATCACTCCCCTCTTGGGTCTTTGTCTTATGAATTGCTCTTTTTCAGATCGCGTAGGCCATGGCCCTCGATATGGACCTGGTCCCGACGTTTTCGATGATATGTATCGGAATAGCAGTGGCGGTGGCGGTGGACATTGGGACGACCGTTACAGTAACTCTCCCGCCAATGATCGCTCCATGGGTGGAGCACGTCCCTCGTCAGTCCCACGAAGACTCAAGTTTTCCTCCCCATACCCACATACCCTTGCTGTCAAAGAAACGGGCGTACCAATCGGTTCTTTTCTTTCTGCATCCAGGCGCTCGAACATGCCACCACCTTCAGAGCTTCCCCACCTGGTCACTTTTCGTTACTTTGCCGAATTTATGCGAGCTACCTCCCCTCATATTGCTGACGATAAAGACAAGCTAGCTGAACAGTGGAGGAGATACCGGCAAGATCACAGTCAAAAGCAACTTGTGACATTTTTTGAAGGAAACAAAACTCAGCCATGGTTCAGGGAAAAATATCAACCGGGTCCCGAATTTGAGGAGCTCCGGGCACGTCTGAAGAAGAAGGGCCGAGAAGGTCGAGTAGCCAAGTTTGTTGAAGGTCTACAGAAGGGCGACTTTGACATCGTGAATTATGACTATCTCCGTCAGTGTAGTTTCTTTGCGGTTTCGATCCCTTTGACCAAGAGATTGGCGGCTTTGGTCAATATACTCACCACTGTAAATCATACACGTAGCGATGAGTAAGAAGTTTTCCACTTCCAAGCCTTCAGGTGCCGAGGTCGACGTGAACGCTACCAGCGGTGGATCCGCTACTAAGCCTGAATCCTCCGACTCACCCTCCCTCAACACTCCCGCCTTGGTTGACGGCGCTACAGAAGACAACAAACCCGATGCCAGTGGCTCTCAGAGTTTAGAAGGTAGCCACTCTATCACTTGTGCCCTTGGTCCTCATCTTGCCTGCTTTGACTGACGACCATCATCTGGAACAGAGAAACCACCTGTGGCAAAGTTGGAGGATAATGACATCAGCAAGGACGACCATACCATCCATCTTGAGTCGAACGAAATGGAAGATCATGACGATCCCGATTTTGATTATAGTACCAACATGGCGGACATGTTAGGACCGAGCAACGGCTTGCCAGCTTCTAGCAGTGCACTTGGCAATTTGATTGGTGAAAGTATGAGAGGCAAAGGTGGTTCGGATGACATTGTGGTCCTGCCCCCGTCTGCAAATCAATTATTTATCAAAAGTATCAGTCCTGACATTTCACGAGAGGAACTAGAGAATGTAAACCTTTCCCGCTTTCTTGATTATACGCACTTTTCTGATTATATCGTTCGGCGTCTCTAGCATTGTAAACAAGCAGAAGGATTCGAGTATCTCGCACTTTCTGATCCACATACTGGAAAGAAACTCCATCGTGTGGGGTGGGTTGCCTTCGTGCCTGGGACTGACATGAAAGCAGCAGAAGACAAACTGAGCGAGTCGAAAGTAAGTCGTCGCATCACCATGACCGTGACTTATAGATGGACCCATGTTCATGTGTTGCTCCGTCGTATAACAGATCAACAACTTTACGCTTCACATGATGCGCGCTGAGCGCCCTGCGTACCAGAAGTTGCGAGTTACACCAGGAATCATGAATACACCTTCACGAATCAAGAAAGATTTATCACAAGCCCGTAAATTGGCTGCTTTATTCGAACAAGACTATTATACCACGGGGGCTGGTAATGAGGACGAAAAGCGAGGAAGTACAGCGATCGAAGAACGAATACTATCAATCTTTGAGCACGCTGAGGTAGAGGAAGCCAACGCCGATGTCAAGAAACCCGATCAATCCGATGTAAAACCCTCCGTCGATGGCGGTGATCCAACTGTTGAAGCAACAGGAATTCCAGTCCCTCACTCTCCTGATCCAAAACAAATCCCAGCCGATGAGCAAGAAAGTTTGAAGATGGAGAAGAAAACCTTGGATCTATACCTCTATTATCTGAGAACAGTTTTCAACTCCTGTTACTACTGTGCTTGTGTTTGTGACTTTCAAGAAGAACTGTTGAGGAGATGTGCCAAGCATGTTAGAAAACCTCCGCCTGCACGAACCGAGTCGGCAGTACCTTCATCGGGCCACAAGCGGACCGCGAATCCGGCTCCCAAGGCCAATGAAAGCAGCTGGGCACGTACGTTGGATGATCGGCTTCAGTTACTCCTTGATGCTTCCGAAGTTAATCCCAGAGACTTTGGAGGCGAGAGAATAGACGAGTTTAGTGATATGTTTATCGAAGGTTGTGATCGGTAGCTCACCCGCTTTGTTTTTATTTCGCGTAGTGAAATTCATCGGTTGTGTCAGCCTCAAATCACAGACGAAGGTGCTGGGAAGTTCAGGTGTAAGAACTGTAGTAAACTGTTCAAAGCGATGAACTTTATCGAAAAGCATATTATGTCAAAACATGGCGAAGTAATCAACCAAGACTCTATTGAAAGGGTATGCAAGATCCCCTTTGATTCGTCTTTTCCTAAAAGGGTCCATCATGGTCCGCAGCTTTTGAAAATGCCGTTGACCTATCTTGCTTTTGTAAAATACAGATCAAATATTTGAATAATTACATACTCGATCCTTCGCATACTACTCCTCAACCCCCAACGCCTCCTGAACACTCACAAAACAGATCGCACAATAATAACGGCATGGGAGGGCAAGGTGCGGGTAATAACGGTGGACCGAATGGGATGATGAATATGGGTGGCGGTGGAGGTGGACCAGCGGATTTTCACGCGATGGCAGCTGGTGGTGGAGGCAATGGATATGGACCTATGGTGGGTGGACCGATGATGGGACCCCCAGGAGCGATGGGAGCGATGGGAGGACCCTATGGGGGATACCCTCAAGCCATGTTCAATCCATATGGAAACTATCCAGGTATGCAACCTGCAATGTTTGCATCAGGATCGATGATGGGACCAGGTGGACCGTATTACATGAATGCTGGATACCCGTATGCTCAACCTGTTTATCCAGCTATGCCACATCAACAACAAATGATGCAAACTCGAATGGGATCAGGAGGAAATCAGTCTAGAAGATTAGGTGAAAGGATTTCAAAACATTTTGCTTCGGATGGAATCGGAGAAGATGGAACACCCAATAAGAGAAGTAAAAAAGAAAATGGTGGAAATGAACCGGTGATGATCGCTTCTGATCCTAGATCAAAGACTGTATTGGCTTATAATGATTTAGATGTGATGGCTGGTGAAGAGATTGTATTGAATTATTAAGATTTTATTGTGTTTTTTGTTGTTGAAATTTCTGAATGAATAAAATAACGTTTTTTTCTTTTTTTTGAGATTCTCTATTCTATACTTGGTGTTATCATTTTGGTATTTTTGGGTTGTTTTTGTTTTTGATTCCGACAACAAAAGTGAGAAAACAAAAAGATGAGGTATAGAGGTTTTATTGCTGGATTCAATGAAGAGAAAAGAAGTAAAAATATTGTTGAGACCAAGAGGAAGTTTGAAAATAGTCTTTTCCAAGTTTCCACAATGATATCATAATATGATTTTGACAAGAGTCTGGAATGGATAAGGGAATCTGTGATGAGGTTCATTGAAACCTTTCCTTGGGTGATTGATGACTTGCAGGAGTTGAAAGATCAGTACAAGTTGATTGCTTGGTTGAACAATTAGATATTGACCGGTGTTGTCTATGTAGGTTCCATTCATACCTTAATGGGTTTTCTCTGGTTTCAATTATAACCAGGCCTTAGATTTATAGTGAGTAAACTTATCTGCACAATATGGACCTTACATTGGTAAGAAAGATTGGCTTGGCTTGGCATACAAGCATTCCCTTTTTTAACAATGATTTTGGTCCCAAGACCTTTTTAGGTGGGTATGTTATACATGTGTACAAGTACTTGCAAATAAAGATACAACACGAATTTAGTCTGTTGGCCCCAAACAATACTTGTCAGACTAAACTGAAAAGCTTGTTCTTTTTGAGAAATTTGATTTTTGCAACCTTGATACCTACAACAAACCCTGTTAATCATCACCTCCTGTACTTTTGCTATAATGTCACTTGCAAATGATCTCAAAAACTGTATCATTTGGCTGCATCTGGCTCAGCCAATATGCTATGCTCTATAATTTCGTACTTCAAGAAGGGGACAAATCAATGGGTCAATCCAAACTCTTGACCAATTGTGAAGATTGACATCTGATGAAAGATATGAAATGGACATATATTTCATCTACTCACCAGCTTACTACCAATTCAGCTATATCATCAGCAAGTCTGCCATCCAATGTCACTGGAAGAACCTCGGCTTGAACCCTTGAGTTGATGAGGTCAAGGTGTTCTGGAATGATCAGAATGTTCAAGACCTGCTAGAGTATGCACCACACCATAAGAATTGCACTATGTATGACTGGAGATTGATTATCTGGAATGATGAAATGACTTTCAACATTGGAAGAGGGTGCAGTAGTAAGAATTAACAAGAAACAGCTAGAAAAACTATCAGTATAACTTTTCAGTCCCTTCCCACCACTCAGACTGCTCAAGTGTGCTGGTATGGGGTGTATTCTATGCAAGCACCAAGCTTGGTACACTGAAACAGAGCCCTTGAAAGATGATTTCTGAATCATACATCAATCAAGCATGCATTGCATCATTTTGCACTTCTTCAAGAATTTTCCAGAAGTGCATGGTCTCATCCTGATAGAGGAGTGTTTACCAACAATATGCTTAAAGATCCCAATTTTTGGAATGTCCAAGATTACCTTGTCAAGTTGATATGATTGGCTCAATCTCTGGGTCTCAATCCAGTTGGAATTATCTGGTCAGACCTTGAACATACAGTCTCAGCTACCGGTCCAACCACTGCACTGAAAACCATGTTTACCATGACAACTCGTGCATGTAAGGCTGTTCCTCCTGAGAATCTCAAGTGTTTACTATCCTCAATGCTTGGTGTCATCAAAGCCTATTTGGAGTCAAGGTGAAATCAATGCTCTTGCTGAATAAGCTCATATTTTTCTTAAATGACAAGCTATGTCCATCTCCCCATTTCTCCTGGAAAACAAGTGGTTTATGATTCTTATCATATATTCACATACTCAATCATTGTCCTTGTAGGTAATCATGCCAAGAAAAACTGCTGTCTATTTTCAGAAGTGGAAAGAAGAATATTTACCTAGTATGACATGAGATGTCTATATGTTATCTTTTAGTTGATATTTGATATTGGTTTCTATCTTTCACTTATATTGATTTGAATCTTTTGTTGTCCAAATTGAGCCTAGTACATTGCCAATTTAGAGCAGAAGATTTTACACTTTTCAGAGCATCAGCACCGGGCCTTGTAAACTTGGACTTAACTGGGTTACTATATTGACAGGAGAGAGGGTGTATGCCTAATAAAAATTTGGCAAACCCAGGGCTTTGCATAAATGTGAATGTGGAAACAATACATTGCTGAACAAGTCAGGCCATGTGATACAAGATTATGAGCACAGTTCATATCCAGTGGATTGGATACAACAAATCGATCACCATTTACAATTTTAAGAGGAGGGTTTGGACGCTTTGCCCTGTTGGGTGGATTTGGAAGGCCTATGCGGTTGTCTATATCTGGAGGGTCAAGGTTGGGTTTTACACAGTGTGGATACCATACAGGCTGTTACAAGGTCTGGTGCCTTGGGTTTTCCCCATGGAATTGCGAAACAACCTATATTTTGCTTTTTACAAGGACCGGTGCTGATGCTCTCAGAGGAAGATAATCTGTTTGCATTTTTTACTAAAAACTTATTGAACAACCATTTTCCCGTAAGAATCTAGTATATCTACAACTCAAACAAATCTTCAACCAACTATTACAACTACAAGAAGATTGCCACAGCAAACCAGCTCTCATTGAAAAGTGCATAGTTTCAGGAGGAGCGCTAGTGATCAATTTTAAGTCAGGTAATTCTCATTTATGGATTGTTTTGTTTTGTTTCAATTGTTTTTGATTTCTATTATCATTTTTTTTTCATTCTGTTCTAACCTTTTACTTCTGATGATATCTTCTAAAGACGTGAGTGCACGCTGTAAACTCTTAACATTCACTGTCATTAAGGTACTTATAAATGTTGATCTTTGTAAAGGTACTTACAGTCTCATTAAAAGCTACTGGTTGTTTTTTTGTGTATATATGTTTCTTTACACTCACTATGGTTTTCTTTGTAAAGTTGTTTTTGTTTATGAAGTAATTTTGATTGAATATACTGCAATGAAGGTTGAAACATGATTCACTATAATCATACATATTACTGCAATTCATATTGAAAACTTGTGGAAAAAATATGTTTTTTATTTCGATTTTGAAGAAGCTGTAGCTTTCTGATCGCCCAGTTCCTGGGGTTAATGCTTTATACCACAGAACATGACTCAGTTATTTAAGGAGAGAGCCTGAGGAATACAAAAATCATGGGTTTTAAATGATTAGTCTTCAAGTACTAGTAGTTTATGTGGGCATTTTTCAGACAACACAAGTGTTTTGTTGTTACACCTCTTGCAATTCCAGCTAAAGAGGCATGGCCACCACCTGACCCGCCAAGCTTGTACTCTTGTAATCAAGTCAACGTGAATCCCAACTGGATAGGCTTATCTGCCTTAACCCCTTCTTGAAGAGTTATCAAAGCTCTTCGAGAAGCCTGGGTATAGAGATCATGATGTTTACACTGCAAAGAGTTTCCATTTTTCCTAGGGGAATAATTTTGCTTTGAGAATGAGTGATGAGATTTCTGGAATCAAATTTTCGTCACCTATATTTTTATTTTTTTTGATTGCCTTGGAAAAATGGAAAACTTTTGTAGTGTTAATTTGTTGGTGCGTGTGCTCAAGGCTTGGTTTAGTGTGTAATCGATTTTTCAGAGAAGCACTTATCGCGAAATATGGTCTTGTTTGCCAGCCTAGAAGAATTGACAAATAAAGTCCTCCGTTGGCTCGGCGCAATTGTAGGGCTACAATTATGAGTCTTCCTAGATATCCCTGTTATGGGCATAAGGTTGTCATGTGGGGGCATTGATGTTCAATAAATTATAATTCGGTTAGGGTTGGTGTTATATTTTGGTTTGTACAACATGTGGTCCTTGAAAGAAAATGTGTACAGTAAACAATGCTTCCTTGATAGATGGAGTTGGAATTAACAAGGAAAACGCTTCTTAGCCTTAGCCACTCAAGAGAGTTTCATGCAAGTGAAGAAGTACTGATAAAATATCAAACAAATCATCTTAATGATGATTGAGTGTAGAGTGTTGAGAATGATTTATGTTTTTCCTTGAGCGGCTTGTACGACCGCGTAGATGTTGGCCAAGGTGACCAGGACTGCCACAATTCCGGCAATGACTTTGACAGTGGTGTTGTTTGCGAATGAATGAGAGCGTACACGGAGATTGGTATCGATCGATGTGGTTTTAGATAAACCAGAAAAACTACTATCCGCATGTCTAATCACTGGTCTATCACCCTTCCGGCCACCGTTGTTCTTGTAATACTGTTGTAATGGACTCAAACCTTGTAACGGCTTCTGTGGTTCGATGGTGAGGGAATCTGACCTGAACCTCACTATGGGGTCTAGGGGAGCTAGGGGTGACGACTCATCAGGACACGTTATGGACATCGTCGCTTTTTGTCCAGTGAAATATGCCAAGGGTATAATTGAAAAACTGTGGTTTCATGATACGAATAAAATTAGAGAGGTATTCAAGGAATCAAAATAAGATAATCAACTCACGGAAGGACAATACTGATGGCAACTTGACTTGCGATTAACATTGCATTAACTCCTTCTTTTCCAAGTAAGATTGCTACTATAGCCGAAGGGATAATTCCAACGGTACGAGTAACAAGTCTACGAAGAAGTGCATTTGTTTCCCAACCCAAAAATCCAGCTGAAAGAGATTGACCAGCCATTGTGATGGTCAAAGAAGCTGCCTGTCCAGAAAGTAGTAATGAAAAGGCGAAAACGAAAGCAAGGACCGGCCCCAGTTTCTGCTTTAACAATATGTGAACGGACTCGAGATCTGCTTCTTCTTCACCGCCATTGATGACAAAGTAGAAAGTGGTGGAAGCTACAAGCAAGATAGCAGAGTTTACGACTATGGTTTTCGAAGTAGACGAAGGCATGGTCAGTATTCTTTGTGTAGTGTGACGAATATCAAGTTTTTCACAGACTTAGGGGCAAGGTCATTAGGGATACGGCGATATCAAAGGTCGCATGTGCCAAGTAACTCTTGCAACTTTCTATGCTTCTACGTCTAGGGGGAGTGGGTGCGTCCTGATCGATGATTATTGGGTTCGATTCTAATTTGTTCAAGGTGGGCAAGCTATCTTCAAATTGCACCTTTCCGGATTTTTCGGGAACATACTTATTCAAAGAATCGTCGGATGGCGATGTGAGGTTCGTGTCAGTTGCTGGTCCCTCCGAATCATCTCTGTCCATGGTGGCCAAACTAGCTCCCAACAGGATAGAATGTGGCCCGACAGTGGCACCTAGAAAACGCATTATAAGGCATCGGGTCCTGGTCAGGGATGTGAAAAAAAAGTGAAAGCATCATAGGAAGCTCGCCTATGATCCCAATGGCTGTGTATAAACCTGTTCCTTTGACGATATCTCCACTTGGTAGAAAGCCTCGAATAGCAGCCGTCCAGTCAGGCTTCACCTTGAACAGCAAGATGAGAGCGGCGATGACAACACTCATGACCACGACTGCCATGACGATCTCAAATATCTGCTGCGATTTCTTTGCGCCATCTCCCTTTCTAAAGAAGATCAGAGCAAGGAAAACGTCGAGGAAAGTCAAAAGAACGCCTCCCCATAGTGGTAGCTTTGGTACGAGTCTGAAATCCAATGAAAAAAGACGCGGAGTGATTAGGTACATGGGCAGCTCGCCGTGCGATTGGATGTGCGTCACTTACAAGTTGTAGGCGATCGCTGAACCAAGTAATTCTCCAATGTCGGCAAATCTAAAGTCATGAAAAATGTGTTGGTTGGTGTCTTAGATAGTTGTATCGGCTAGACTTACAACACTGCGATCTCGAGTAGCACCCATAATGGGTAGAGTGCTATCCATCTCCACATCGAGTTGTTGGGTCGAGCGTCAACAGCTGCTCGACAATTCTGGGAAAAGTCTGATTGTACAAATCAATCAGCATCGGATTGCGTGTTCTTATACAATTTTTGAAATGTGCTTACCTTTTCCAGTTATAAAACCAAGCCGACATGCCAAGATTTGCAAGAAAACTGCCATGATGATAGCGATTAATAGGATGAAAAGATGTGCATTCCCGAATTTTGAACCAGCTTGCAAGTCGGTAGCCCACTTTTAATGCGAAAATGGACAAGTTCAGCAAAAAGGGTCAGTTTTGGGCGTTTGTTTTTCACAATCTGGTTATATCCACAGAGTTACTAACATTACCAGGATCGTAAAATGTTACTCTAGCATTGAGAAATTGCGAGTTATATTAGTTGAATTCCAACCACAAAACGTAAAAATGTGTACTCACGAAGCAATTAAACCAGGACCAATGAACTTTGAATGTCTTTTCAAGACACCCAAAATACCAGGAGCCTTGGCTGGAGGTTGAGGTCGTTCACCTTCAACTGTGAACTGAGGTGTTGGGAAATCAGTACTCATCACTGAAATCTTAATGTATTTGATTTTACAGAAATATAAGATGACAAGAGAGTTTTCGTATACAGTTTACTAAGATCGATACTAATTCGAGTAGAAACGAAATAAATAAAATAATCAACTGAAGATTGTATGCCTTCCTGAGGGGTAAGTATAAAAGCAGTAACCCTTCAAGGGTATTGAAAAAATAAAAAAAAGAAGTATTAGAATTATTGAACGTGAAAATCAGAAATCACAAACAACACTTTAAGTGAATGAAGTCGTATGAGGAATAGAAAGGCAAAACTCATGCTGACGTTATATATATATTATCCAATTATCAATCGAGATTTCCGGATAAGCTCTTGACCGTCGAATCGTTTCTAACCGAGATGTTTTGCGCCGTAGTGTTTTCATTTGCTTTGATGCTATGTTCCTTGACATCAACTGGCCTCGTCGCTCGGAGTGGCATTGATTGTAGTCTAATCAATGCTCTTTATCAATACTTGGCCTGGCATCATTGGCCTGAGCTCAGTTTACACCACGTCTTGTGTTGACCAGATCGCCTTGACCGCTCCGAGAGCACAGAAGACTGTTGTAAAGACCAGCAATTGAGGAAAAGTTGAACCTCACATCGCGAGTGTGTAGAAAATCTGACCGATAACGTTCGAATCACATCCGTAAAGTTCACTTGAGAATCCTGTCAGTCAGCAAAACCCGGTTAGCTGATCTGATCATGGTATGTTCCGGATGACTCTTGTGCATAATCTGAATTTGACGGTGAAGGATTGTACTGATCTTGTTTCGTCTTGTAATTTTTTTATAATAGCCTTTGAACGCGCAATAATCGTTCCATTTGCTGAATAAATGACAAGCTGGCATTGAAAGGATTTATGTGAATATCTGGCCTGTCAATTTGATCATTGAGAAATATGATCTAAAGTCCAACCTCTTGATTTGGGAGCACGAGGCTTGACTATACAACACCAGAGCCATCAAGAAAAAAGCTTCCAAAACATAGAATGTGAGCCACCCTTACAAGATGTCTCTGAAACTTTACAATAAGGGTGCTCAAAGTAAAGTATGTAGCGCTACATACTTTTCGCTACATACTTTTTTTGGCGGGGACAAAGAAAAAAATATACTTTTGGCCTCGTCTTCCCCGCCAAAAAAAGTATATAGCAAAAAGTATGTACACGTACATACTTACTTTGAGTACCCTTTATACCAGTCAAATGAATATACTCCGCTTTTGAAATCCGGCTTACATTACACGCAGCTTGGGGTCGACCTCTCATTTGTGATCAATTACACCACATTCAAAATTCTTAGAGCTGTAACCATCACTAGCTGATGTTGTTTAAAAGTCATGAATTTTTTTTCAATTTGAGTCTTCTGACCCCATTATGAAGAACTGAGAGCATCCACAGTGGTGGGCTGCGAATCGGGGCTTCAAATCAAGCGAATTGGGACCTGGTGGGGCATCAAGTCAATTCAGATGCAATGTTCCGGGTAGGGCTGTGACCCAACCCTGCAAGTTCAGGTCGGCCCTGGGGCGCCGCCTGGCCTTGGGCAGACTGGAAGGCCTTTGAAAATTGTGCGAGGCCAAGCAGGGCACACGCCAAATTGTAGGTCTCGAGGCCAGGCAGGGCCCGGCTCAAATTTAGGTGCAGAATAAACTCAGACAGGGGATGATTCACATTTCAAATACATAGAAGTATTTAACAAAAGGACCGCTTAGAGAAAGTAGATTGGTTTGCAAGAATGAGGAGAAAGTGTGAGGCTCCTGACCCAGCCAAATCTTCTGCAGGGCATTTGTGACTCTCATCAGGTCAGGTTTTTGTGGTCCCGGGGTGTGGACTTTGGCAGAAGTGGTTGGGAGAGCCGGCCAGGTCTGGGTTGCAACCCTATTTCTGGGCTCCAAATGTGTATGGAATACATATAGACTCATACCGACATATAAACAGCACATCAGTTACATGTCTTGTTTTTCCATGTCATGTGCAGAACAGTAACCCAGCCCTGAAATTGGCCAGACCCAAGGGTATCAAAAAGCAACTCAGGGTCAATAAGGGCACGCCTTGAATGGTTTATAGGTGCAAAAATGTGGTCAACATGCAATGATTGCAACCAATATTGCCATTAAATGCATATTGAAATTTATTACAAGGCTATATGAGCCTACTTGCAACACTGCCACAATACTGTACTGGTATTGTATTGTCAATACTCAGTAAAGTATCAAGGGCTCAATACTGCATCAGCAGGATACTAGTACAGCATAGCCCTCCTCAATACATAACTGGGAATATCAGGATACTATGCCAGGGGACCCTATGGTACAGTATTCACAATGCCAATACAATACCAATACCATATCTGGTATTGTAGCCATTCTGAGGATACCAAAGATACCAATACAATACTAGTATTGTATCGAATATCTGAGGTATCAGAACCAGACATATCACCACTTATATTTCATAAAAAAGCATAGCAAGAACAAAAGAAAGAGATGTAGCTTCCAGAGCTGCAAGCAACAGAAATGAAGATAAAAGGGAAGAAACAAGATGAAAAGACAAGGAAAGGAATGTGACTCTCAGGGCCATAAACAAAAATAAACAAAATAAACTAATGAAATGAAAGATAAAAAAATAATAGAAAAACATGTTCACTTGTAGTATTATTATTGTCACCCCCCCTCCTTTTTCAATTGACTTATCCAAGGTCATGGACTCACACATGCATCTTTGACACTATGCAAACTCAGCTCCCTGTATCTTGATGCCATCCTTGGACCAAAGCCAAGCACCTAATGACCGCTCAACTGTCGGAAGTTTTAATGCCCCTCAATCCCGGCCGCAGACATCTGCAGCTGCGGAGAAGGTTCTCTCCACAGCACACAATGCTCCACAGACTGCAAGATAATCCCTTGCTAAAGATGATAAAACAGGATATCTTGAGGCATTGACCTTACAATAAGAGAATATACAATTCATGTCAGTAGGTGATGTAAAACTTGAGTTCTTGAAAAAACACTTTACCTGCCACCATTCTAGAGCAAGATGAAAATCCTTCTTTACAGCTTCAGAAGGCTCATAAACACACTCAAAGTAATTGATAAGCTCATTTTCAACCCACTTCTGAACTTTCTTTTTGTGTGCACAAAATCTGTCTTTGTCATCATCCTCTCCATCATCAGAATTGCCACTTTTCCTATCATTCTTTCCTGCATTCAGTTCTGATTTTTGGTTATAAAATGCAGCTTCTAAGAAACCCTGAGCAGCTGTGAACTCCTTGGAGTTGGCACTGAATGTCAACTGAAAGTAATATGTTTGCCAAGAAGGATGGAGTACGGTAGCTAGGACTAAGACATTGGATTTGAGGGCTTCAGAGAGATGGACTTTGACTCAAACCAGCATGGTGTGATACATTGGAAATACAGTCGACTCTGATATAACCAATACCCAAAAAATGTATCGGTTTTCATGGAGTATCGGTTTTGTCAGAGCCAACTTCACTGAAAATTTAAAAAAAATGGCTGAAAATTATCGGTTTTACCGAGATTATCGGTTTTGACAGCTATCGGTTATATCAGAGTTGACTGTAGAGGGTCAGCTCTCAATACATATGAGTTGATTTTGTCTTGAATGGACTTCTTCAGTTTGACGTATTCACGGATGACCAGTGAACCTATAGGAGCATCTGCTTCAAAAAGTTTAGTCAAAGTTTGGAATTCCTGTAGTGAAGTAAAGTGTCAGCAAGTTTCAACACATTCCGCAATAGATACACAAGAGACTTACCCAGAGGACTTTGATCAATCTACCCCCTTGCTTCCAATGGTCCGGAGAAAGAAAGCCTTGTTAAATATACCCTGAGGTTGAGTCAAATCAGGATTGCTGGGCCCCAGCTCCAACTTTTGATTTTTACCATTAATCTCTTTGACAATTTCTTTCTGGTAGTCTCTTAGCATTCAATCAATAACCTAGAATAGACAGTATGCAATGCAGATGACACAAAGAAATGATAATTGTGGTTAGCAAGAGAAAGAGACTCACCTCTTCAGTTTTGAACAATCTCTCCTAACAATGTAGTCTAATGTTCCAACGTATTCCATAACCTGGAATAGGTCTAGGAAATCTAACATCCATACTTGCACACATCACATGAAACACAGCTAACATTTGTGACAAGCCTCCAATTTTCCAATCAATTTCATCGAGCTAGGAATTTCAAAGGGTTCTCAGAGGTTTGTAATGAATAATGAGGTATTGGATAAAAATAAATGCACTACCAGATTCAATAGATGAACTGCATTGGCTTCATTTCAATTAGTTGCTGGGAGAGCTGAGGAATTGGCAGGATCTTCTTCAAATGGCCCATCAATCACACCATACCATTGGTCATCTAATTCTTTTCCAGGTAAGGTGTTAAGATCCATTTCATCATCTGAATTGGCTTTGTTGTTAGTGGTGGAATCTAAATTGTGAGGCTGAGTTACTCCAGGTCCTGATTTGTCTTCTTTGTCTTCTTCTTTGGCAATCAGAGATAAAGTGTGTTTGTCAAGAGGGAATTTGCCAAGTATTGTAGACTTCACAAGGGGAGGTGGTGGCGCTTTGAGTCTTGACTCCTAAATCCTGAAGTCCTGCATTGACTATCAAGGCAATTTTGTGTCCCGCACATCAAACTCAATCTCTAGACTTGTCACATTCAAATTTTTCAGACTGATCTGATACAACTTTTGATAATCGTGCTTTCATGGCTTGAGCACATGTATCATTGTTGCTTCCTAAATTGTGAGTCTGTGCAAGCATGTGTGATTCAAAATGGAACAAATGTCAGCCAATAGCAAAATTATTGAAAATTCAAAGATTAATGTAATAGACTTATCTTTGGGTAGAGCTTGTGTTTAACAAGTACATTAATCAGTGGCTCAGGTAGCCACTTGCCTTTGTAACTGTACAACATCCAATGTTGGATTTCAGTACAACACTGAAAAAATACTGCTGATACTGGATACTGTC